AGCGAAGAGCGCCTGCTCACGAAGAAGAGGCTCACCAAGTGGGAACAAGATCTCTCCACCCAGTGTGTCAAACGTCAGTGTGAAGCTGTCGGTCCTGCACCCAGCTCTTGTGCCGCGATTGGTGGTGTTCGAAGGAAGGGTGCACTCTCCTTTCCGCCTTCCAGCCCACGACATCAGCGTCGTGTATGCGAAGCCCTCCCAGGCTGTCATTTGTAAAACATCAGCCAGTCGCAATCCGGCACTGCCTTGGAATGGGAAGGACTCGTTGTTCAGCATCTCCTTCCGTATGCAACGGTGCACATATCGACGGTGCCAATTCATGCCAACCAACACCTATCTGGCACACACTGCCTAGCTGTCCTTCGGCGGCAAAGTAATCCAGGTAAGGTATGGCATGTCGTTCACGGCATCTACCTGCAGACTGGCTTCGCACAGTAGGCCTCATCTTCGAAAATGCAGCGGGGCCAGTGGCCTGAAACTGACGTCCGACAGACACACACAGAAGCACAAAAGTCAACGTCTGGCATCTCCGAAGGCTTCCAAGCATAGAGTGATACAGCAGACTGCTCAAAGGCCGAGAAAGCACCATGAAATCTCAGTGGCTTGACATTTCAACTTCACAAATGTACAAGCCCGACCCCAGAGCCCGTGCTGCCTGGATCGTGCCAAGCTCGGTTGTGGTCCGGATTTCACCGGCCGAAGCTTGCAAGGAGCCAGTAAACCCATTGTCCTTAGGTCAGTCGCTTCAGCAAAGTTGGAATACACTCGCTCCAAAACCAATATTCGTACGTAGTAATTTAATAGTCGCAAGTCTTTTCTTGGTGTGATTCTTGTGACTCCCTGTGCTCTGAGTCATGCCAGTCCCGTACTGGAGTATCGAACTGTGAAACACCAGGAGGCTTCTTGCGTGGGCACATGATACACCTAGCTCACCTAACATGAAACCTTTTGCTTCGGGCGAGATGTCTTATGCCGCACAGACCGGAAGCCAGTCACTGGAGACTTCGCACCTCTGCAGCTCCAAGACACAACACCAAATCCAAATCAACTCGCAAAGGCGAACCACTAAACGGGGAGCCTCACGTCGCCAAAGGATTCGCCAGTCACTGAGAGCGCCCTTGTCCTGGCCCTTCAAAGTGGCTGGGAGCTGTCCAAACGAACGGCCGAGCATCACGAGAAGAGCACCCAGCAGCAGCCAGGGTGGGAAACCGGTATTCGCGGCAAAGGTTAGGCCGAAACAGAGATGCCCAAGCAAGGCCAGCCCAGCTCCTGCGTAGAGGCCTCGCCTTGCCTGACCCTGGGCAGGAACGAAGACTGCTCTGCCGGTTTCCTCGAGGTCTGCTTTGTCCAAGCGGAACTGGCCTCCGAGGACTGGACTTGGCAGGCATCCCACCGAGTCACTCGCCTTCGACACTGCAGATGCAAAGACCAAAAGCTGCAGCTCGCCCCAGAAATAGAAGACCGTCATCAAGCCGGCGAGTGCGGTCGTGACATGCACCAGAGTGACGCCATGCCCTGGAGAGACGACTCGGCAGCGGCAGCTGAGCTCGGAGACCCACGGGAGCAGCCACGGCCAAGCCATTGCACTTCCCAGCAGACGAATGCGACCAAGAAGTGTCAACAAGGGCAGCCCAACTTTGGTTCCCAGGCTTCCTATGGCATAAACAGCAGCCTCCAAAGCCAGCGCAACCTCGACCAAAGCCAGGGTTGCAAAAAGCATCGCCTCCGCGCCGGTGGCGAGCGCATGGATGCGTAAGACCCAGAGGTGGCCTAATGCGACCGTCCAGTAGCCTGCTGTGGCCAATCTGCTCGGGGCTGCAGCACCGGAGAGCAAAACAGGGCCATGGACTGCATGATCATCGGACATGGCACTCAAGCAACAATCACAAACTTCGGCCAAAAGAAGATTCAGCTGGTTCACAGTCGCAGCATCCAGTGCAGCATACACTAAAGTTCTTTGGCTACCCTGTCTGCAACAAGTGGAGCCGAATAAGCTGCAGCGATTGTACGGGATTACCGCGCTCACCCGATCAACAAACGAGATCGAAGTCTTTCTTGCCGCAAGACATCACGATATATCCCACCTGTTGCCACGTCTGTACACAAGCGGTTCCAATGTTGAGCCAAGCATCCGAGACAGTGATGCGCATCTGCACGTCACCTGGCGAAACCGAGCCGCATCGCACACAGGCGGCAAGCGCTGCAAATAAATATTTGCACATATGTATTTCGAAAGGCTGCACGAGCATGGGGCTAATCAATCTATGGACGGACAGTTCCGGCTCATGTAGCCAATGAGCAGCTTGCACATGACCTCGAAACTGCGACTCAATCACGTCAAGCCACCATTGAAGTTTGAAGGAGGAGTGTACACCAAATTCCTCAGCAGACAGGGTTCAGCGGTCAAAGCTTCACAACTGAGGCTGATGGTGCTCAAGCAAGCTGAGTCATTTGGCACACTTCTCGATGTAAGCAAGTTGAGTTGAGCAGTTGATTTTGTGCCGCACACACCCACTCACACTGCGTCAGCCTAGCATGAGGCCATGTGCCTACCTCAATGTGACGCCGAAGGTCTCCAAGCAGCTCCGTGCTTCGTGCAGGCTTGCACGCAGCTTCCCATCTGTATGCAGATCGCACGACTCCTTCACGATGGCTGCTGGTCGACTGGAGACACCTCGCTGCAATACAATTTGCACATCTGATCTGCACCCTTTGATTCGACCTTGCCTGCACACTGCGTTGTGAACAAGCTCGGTCTCCACTCAGCTCCAGCCACACCATCGCAGCGCACCATCCCTGTCAGCAAGCTTGTGATGCCGTCATGGCGCAATCAATCAAAGCTTTAGTTGGCTCTGCAGAACACGCAGGGCTTACACGCTTAACCGCTTAAATCAAGCTTCACCTGGCGTGCCTCTTGATACCCAGACGTGTAGGTCCACATAAGTAGCTTCCATTTCGCTAGCATCATCGGTCAGGGAGACCTGCCAAAACACATCGAACAACATAAATGTCTAGCTAGAGTCTGGTATGCTCGGACAAGCTAGTAACAGCGACGGAAACTCACTGCCAATTTCTGTCTGTGAATCTTCGACTTCGAGGGAAGAGTCTCACCATGAACACAGACGTGCCTCTGCCAAACAATCTCAGTTGCTTCAAGCTGCTGCCAAGAGTCGCAAATAGGAGCTTCCCAAGCATCCTCTTTGACAGTGAACCAGGGGCCAGTCCCAACACCGTCGCATGGTTGCAGCTTTGGTGGAGCATTGGAGTCCTAAGAAGTCAATAGAAAGCAAAAGATCGGGAAGCAAAGACTGCCGCAGAATCTGCCAAAAGCCTCATGCCCCTGCAACACATGGCTGCAAGTTGTGGAAACGTGACGGACAGGCACCTTCCGTCACCCGCACATGAGCTCTGCAGACATGCGGCATGCACCCACACATGGAGGGTGTCTGTTTGAACAGTAGCTGCGCAGTGGACACCACAAAAGCCGACCAGCGCCCAAAGCATCCAAGACCATCCTTGGAGTGATTGGATAAAGTCAGCGAAGGCATCACAAGGCGAGGGCTGCGAACAGGAGACTTTCCGTTACAAATCGGTGCTGAGGATGACTCCGAATGACAATCATGCTCAAGTGAGCCGCTCTCGGCTCTTTTTCGATGTAAGCTGGTTCGATTGGGCTTTGTGGCTGACGTGGCTGAAGCTCCTTTTGCCCCGCCAAAGTTCTGCAACATCCCCCGAGTCCAGTAGTCCAGTCCAGAACCGTCCAAGGTTTCCCAATCGCACTCCAAGAAAATTCCGAGCTAGAGCCAGGGTGCTGCAGAGCGACTTTCCCAGTGCACACTTTAATCACCCCAACAGCCTCACTCCAAGATTGCAGTCTATGACTAAGTGATACTAAGTGACTAAGGATCCTGCAGCTGGTGTGGAAGAAAATGTGATATGGCAGAGTTGGCCAAAGTTGTTGCCCCGCACCCTGACATCCCGGCACCACCCGTGGAACGACCGCCTCTGCAAACGAGTCTTCGCCAATGCCACACAAGCTTTGCAGCAGCATGGCCGAAATATGAGCTAACAAACACCAAACCTATACAATTTGTATGTCGGCGCAAGCAGCAGTAGAAAATGACATTATCCCCATGTTACCTTCAGAAAAAGTCAAAGCCGAGCAAGCCTGCGAAGAACGTGCCACCTGAAATGTCCCGCACTGCCATGCCAAGAGTCTCAGGTTCACCGAGGCATGTATGAAGTGGCCATCGCAGAAGAGGTGAGACCCGCCATCCTGAGAATCTCAGGCTGTCTTTCTGGAGCAATTCGTCCAAAAAGCTACCATGAGCAATGAACTTAACCTACGAACTAGCAATCACGAGTGAAGTTCTCAAGTGAGCTGCTGCAACAAACAAAGATAAAAGAGTCCACAGCCACAAATCCCTGTGCCAATCTCCCTGCTGCAGGGCATCCATGCCACGCCACTCTGCGAGCCTGAAGGGGCGCGAGCAGCCGGCCTGCCAGAGCGCTCGCCTCAATAAAACCTCTCTGCTTTTTCCCCAGCTCGTGGAGGCCGTTTAAGGACAGGCCCATGAAGCGAATCAATCAAGTTCTGCCAGCAAAACTCCCTGGTCAAAATCACTAATTCACTAAATCACACACATGCTATGTCGACGCCGCTCCCGGCCCATGCAAGTTCCATGAACACGGGTCATCAACGTACTCCAGCAAGTCGTGACATCGTCTTTTGGTTACTATTTACTGGATTCTTAGACAAGCGGGCCTGGCACGCTCAACCTCGACTGAGTGGCCACATGGGCTGTAAGCCAATATGTAGCTCGGGTGGAAAGGCAAGACCAAAATCGTGACACACTGCTTCTGCTTCCACCCGGGACTAATGATACAGCCGAACATCTCAAACCATCTTACGCAGGCTCACCCGCAAACTCGCACGGCACAGCAGGATGCGATCACACAACTACGAAACACTTGGCTGCACGACAGGCCAAGAAAGTGGCCCGGACAATTCCACAGGCTTTGATCATCTGTGTGTAAAGCTGCGGCGACGGAACCTGAAGCTTGTGGCAGGATGGCACGCTTCCTCTGCCAAAATACTGGAGAGAGCGACGGACCAATAGCGCCCACGTCCGCATTCGATTAAAAGCCGCAAAGGCAGCTTCCACGCGCCCCCCACTTACCAAGCCTTCAGGCGCAGCGTGAAAATTCAGCATCACACTTCGGCCCTGGGCCTCAAAAAGGGTTGGAGGCACTCTCTCTTCTTCTTCGCGGGTCAGGCCCAGGCCAGTGGGGCCCCCGATAATTTTGGGGCGTTGGAAGGGCGTGAAGCCTTATCTCTGGCGTTTGCCAGGTTACGAAGCATACGACCGATGAATCTATACGTCGTTGAAGGGGTCCCCGCGAGGAGGCAATTACGGCAGTTCTACAACCGATGGCCTGGGACACATACTACGACGAGTTGGTAGTTCTCTTTCTGAAGTCTTTGAAGCATCTCTCTCTCGCACTCTCTTTCTCTCGCTCTCAGGGTTGCAGGATCATGCTGCACAACAGCCGCCTTCGATGAGGGCTTCAAAGATCTCCACCGGGATCTTCTCGGTTGCACCTACTCCAAGATGCAAGAGCGTCTGCCCATCGCAGGTTGTTCTCGAAGGGCCGAGACCGTGACCAGTACTGCCCTCTGCCTGAGCTGCCTGGGTGGAACAAACAATCCTTCCCAGGGTCTACTCGCCTAGGCCTAGCCGAGGCTGCAAAGACCCAACCTGCCTCCAACGAGCCTAAAAGAGAGAAGGCTGCATCTGCATCGCCGCCACGAGCATGAGCGCAAATGAGCGCATGCAATACTGAAGACCTCATCAAGACGAAGCGATGGCACGTCTCAGTCTGTGGAAAATACCCCACACCCCTCATACCCAACTTAGCAACAGGGACAGCAAGCCCAAGAAAGGCTGCAACGTCACTGCAACATGCTGCGGGCTCTTTTTCTAAAGTCACGCAAGGGCCCACACGGCAGGAGTTCTGCAGGCTTCTGGTCACCCTTTCTGCCTGGGATCTTATTTCACTGTGCACTGAGCTTTCGAGGCATCGGACCTCCGGGGTTCATGCTGTCGACGTGTCCAAGTTTCAGCTCTTCTTGCACTGCCATCCTAAGCAACTGTGAGGCTGTTTGGGACAGGAACGGGAAACGATCAACAATCAGTTCTGCCCCTGCGTCGAGCATCTTGACGTATGAAGGGTTATGAAGGTATCAACTCCTTTGAGCCACCTCCTGGATCGCTGGCTGTTGACGCGGATGCCACGCTCGGGACAGCACAATCGAAGACAGATTTGGCGAGCTCTTGGCAGATCGTCTGCCTTTCCATCGACACGAACTCCGCTTATGTAGGTTAGGTATCATCTGCATGTTCCGACACTGGTGAGACCGCGGCAAGCCACATCGTGCGCATGAGCACACTCATCTAGCACCGCCACTCTGACAAGATGTCGTCCCAGTCCCCGGCAGCTGCCGCGGCGCCAATCAGAAACGACAGCCCTTCCACGCAACCTTCGACCTGCAGATCTATGACAGAGGCAAGCTTACTGACCACTCAAGGGAAGAACGGAATGCAGCTGAGCTGTGTTCGGCTTCTTGGGTTTCCGCATCTTCTCCTGGACCTGGGATCCCACGCATTCTCTCACAGAGCAAGCCAAGGCAAAATGCATATTGGCAGGACACTGCAACACACATGGCTTGCAGCCACTGTTTGTCTAACTGTACCCCACACACCGATGTCAGCCCGGATGAATTTGCAAGTTCTGTACACACAAGCAGGCATCCTTGCCGAATCAGACTGTGGTCGCAGGGTCACGGTCTGTTCGGTCAGCGCATGCTTTCCCCAGCCAGACAGTTGACTCTTCGTCCACCGCTTGGCAGAACCCCAGGACTTGCTCGGCTCGGCGAAAGGGCAGGATGCGGCTTAGCTTTTGCGCCTCTTCTTGGCAGAAGTGTTCCAAGCAGGGGGCACGGAGAGGGCCATTCCAGCCATTGGACGGGCTACGGCCACCACCGAGGAGCGACCAGAATCTGAAGCCTCAGGCGAAGCGCGTCGCCGTGCTTGCAATAAACTTGGACGTTTGCGCGGAGTCTGCAGGGTGCCAGGGCTGGATGTGTCTTTTTGAACCTCTTTCGCCATGGCATCGCGCAGAGATCCGTCTCCTGCATCGTCGCCAGTCTTAACACCATGCTGTTCGCTGGTGCCTGGCAAAGCCTTCTGAGCTTTGAGTTGTCGGGCGACGAATAGCTCGGAGGGCATTCCACCCTTTGTTACCTGCGTCTCTGCAACCTGTCCTGCCAAGCTTGGGCAGCGCTTCTCAATCACGTAGCGAAGTACGCTTGCTGCCTTATGCACGGCATCTGATGCAGGCTCCTCCCGATCCACGAAATCTAAGGTTCGGTCACAAACCTGAATGACGGTCCAAGCCAACTCCATGGAATGCTGCGCATCGCTTCGCAGGAGAGCTTCACACAAGAAGCTGCACATCTTGCTGCTGTTTGGGAAAGATGATGCTGGCGCGGACATCTCCTTCCGAAAAATCTGCACCGTTGATAGAAAGTGAATGAAGCAGGCAATGGCATACTCTAGAAGATGTTCCTCAGCCCGCCGAGAGGCCTTCAGGAATGAAGCTTGCAACATCCGGTTCACAACCTCTCTGTGTTTCTTGGCCGGTGAGAAAGCAAAAACTAAGGGTATGGTCAGGCAAAGTCGAAGCCGATCAGCAAGGCGCACTTTGGTGCCTGACGGACGCTGCAGTCGTTGAAGCGAGTCAAGAAGCTTCTCGCTTTCGCAGGTGGGTCTGTCGGATTCCAAGCAATCACACATTCGCGATGCCAGCTCCATGAGGAGCCTTGTTGAGATTTGCAAATGACCGGATCGAAGAACTCGCAACAAGCAACAAACTATCTGCGCTGTCTGTGGATCGTACCATGGGGTAGCTTCATCCGTCGCCTGCCCTTTAGTTTTCGGCAGCGAAAGAATGCCAAGAACGTCCTGGTCGGAACCGGCAGCTACTACACACTCCACAGAAGCAAAACGCAGATCCGTTGCAACTTCCCCTTTGCTTGCGAGAATGCACTGGGCCATCACCAAGAAGCCAGTGCGGTGTTGCAGGCCGTGGAACAGCCCAGCGGGAAAGTCTTGCTCAAATACGGCCGATGCAAGACTCAAGGCAGCGACCTTGTCCTCGCCGCTTTCCAGCTTGCCTTTTGCCCACATCAACCATCTTTCCGCAGCGACTGCCCTCTCCTCTCGATCGGGCAAGAGCATCAAAGCTTTCACGGCCTTGCGGAAAGGCATCCCGCATGGAAGAGTCTCGCTGCAAGCAACCTCGCAGACTTGGAAAAGCACATCGCCCAGTTCCGGTGACTTTGCGGGCTCGTCAGCATGACCCACTGATTCCAGCCGCTTTGCAATTGCTGCCAGAGCCTTTAAACCTGCGTGCGCATCTTCTGCCGAGGTCGAAGCGATCTTCAGCAGGCTGCTGGTATGCTGGAAGAAGGCGTCCGGAAAAAATTTTGGAAGATGAGCTGCACAAGCTTTCGCTGCAGAAGATAGGTTTCGCGGCACTGATTCCTCATCTCGCTGGAAAGCTTCTGGCCACCTGCCAGTCCAAAGGTCCAATATTACAGACACTTGACCCGGTGACATCCACGTGCAAAGAAGGGCACGACGAATCAATGGCGTCAAGCTCACGAGATTGTGCACTCTGAGAAGCCTGTCCAAGTCCTTTAGTGCATCCAAGAGCTTTGAGATATCGGGATGGTCTTTGCTCGAGGTGCTGGTGAGCAACTGCAGCAAGCACCAAAGAGCCTTGTCACGGACCCCATCCAAAACGGAAAGCTGGGCGATGATCGTATCAATCCTGGTGCTGCCCTCGAAAGTCGGGCTGTGCTTTGCTAGGCCCTCCACGACCTCCTCCCGCGGGGCGTCGCCCGCTGAAACTGGAACAAGAATCCCATCACTTGGCAGCGGCATTAAAGGCCCCCCTTTTGCAATCCTCTTTTTCAGAAACCTTTGGAAGGCCTCATTGGCCTCCCGTTTCTTGGAAAGGAGCAAGCCTAAGCCTTGCGAAGAGCTAGGCGCTCCGGCAGCCGCAGAGGAGTAGAAGCCAAGAAATGCCAAACTACGCTGGGCGCCACCCATGCCTGCACCACAACCGAGGATGTGCTGCTCGATGTGTTCCTTCGCCGGGCCGCTAACTTGCACATTTCCCAGATCATCACACCGTAAAAATCGCCATGTCACTGTCATGAACGGGAACCCTACTACTGGATCGAGTTCACACAGATGATTACGAGAACTCGGAAGCAGTGTATTCGTTTGCAATCCCTGTCCTCCAACTGTGCGACTTGACCCATCCCAGTGTTGTTGAGAACCAAGTATGCTTCACACAGCTGCTGCGGTATCCAATCCAATCGTTCTGCAGCTTGGCCAATGATCCATTTCGGTAAAGCGTGCTTGGCATAGAGCCGTGCCATCAGTTCGGCACAAGCCTCACGAACCTTGGCTTTCTTATCCAAGATGCGATGGCAAACATCTTGAAGAATAGGCTCCAAGAGAGTAAACCCTGCAGCGGACTCTGCTGCGACATCCAGAACCACGTTGATCGTGCTCATGCGAAGGGAGTCATTTGGATCCAAGCTTCGTGCCTTCAATTTCGGCACTAGTGCAGCAGCTGCCGAAAGCAATTCCTGGCAATCGGGGGGGACAGGCTGCGTCGAAGCGACGGATGCAGCTGATCGCAGGATAGCACCAGCACCATCCAAAGCAGCAGACCGAACACCATCATCCGCATCTTCCAGTCTCTCTCTGTGTCGATCCACAATGAGGGGATGGGAAGCTGCCAGAAGAGGCCGTGCGCCGGCAAGACCAGTTGCAACATCCCGGGAAGAGCGATGTGCCAGCATGTGCCCAACAAGAGCAGTTGCTGCTCTCCGGCGAGTTGCATCCGAACTCCTTGCATGCAATGTGTTGATACACATGTTCGTGGAGAAGTGCTGTGATGGATTGGCCGGTAATGCTCACTAACACTATATAGCACCTGCCACAGCATCTTCGTGAAGGAATCGCATGTGCTCGTGAAGAAAACTACAAAGAAACGATATGAACAAATCCGTTCAAGGATCACCAGTTCGGACTGCAAATTGGGAAGCACACGTGCCACCAGTGCGGGATCAACCATGTAGAGCTCTTGCACGACGAGAAGTATGGCTTCTACTCGTTCCGTCGTGCTGGGCAGAAGTAGCAGCTCTTCTCGGCCCTGAGGAGGTAAGCTAAAGGCCTTCCAGGCAGACGCAAAACATGAAAAATCAAAGGAGCAGCCAGCCCACAAGCACTGTTCAAAGCCATGCACAAAGGCCTCGGCCAACGCCCGGTTCAAGAAGTCATTCACAGGAACCACAGCGCTGTGCCGGGCTAAGGTCGCCAGCACGCGTTTAACAAGTCCTGCAACGGTTGCTCGGATTCCATGCATGCCACATGCCCTGAGCCTCAAGATGCCCTTGTGCAATCTCACCCTCATGTATCACGAAGGTAAACCAACTACCGGCACTTGAGAGTCCTACCTCTTGAACCCAGGCTCTACTCCATCATCAGCTGAGAGTCCTACCTATTTCATGCACTTGAAGAACTAACTGAAGGGCATGTCCAGAACGTGCGCCATGGATTTTATCAAAAGGTTCCATGACCAGCAAACAATCTCGATCTATAGGTGCACGTCCGGTCCCAGTGATTTGGTCTTCTGTTTCACCTCATCCACAAGCATGTTGAGAATAGAGTCGGAGAGCTCGTCAGCCTGCAAGCTCTTACCGTACCACTTCGCTCTGAAGAGAATGAAATCCGCATTCACCCACTGAACACACAGCCTCATCCGTGGGAACATCGCGCCTCCGCTAGCACACTGCTTAGCAGCTGAGCGAGCAAATTCTCCAGCTTGGCAAACTCCTCTTCCTGCATAGGCATGGCTGCGGCACTTTCTGCCTTTACTTCCGTCTCATACATGCTCAAATCGCCAGTTGGTGCTTCGGAACCTCGAGGGCAACAATGGCTTTGCGAGCCGTAACGATGCTGGACTTGACCAGGTCAGCCAACAAGACCTCCGGAGCTGCCGTCTCGAACGCGAGCATGAAACCTGGGATCAACACCGTGGCTTCATGTGGTGACCCTGTGGTGTGGTCACTGCCCTTCTGGCCAAACCAGAGCTGAATCAATCCGGGTCTCCACGAATATCGACGAGCCTGCCGAAACGAACAAATCAAGCGTGTTGCTTCTGAACTTGGACACTGTTCCGGTCTCCACGAGCCTGCGAAACAAGTCGAACGCATGCTTGTAATTTGCTGCGGCTGGGTCCGACAACCATACCATCTGATCCGTGAACGACTGGAGTACGCTCGAGATCCTGCGTGGGCAACTGCTTATATACATGTCTATCCAGCAAAACACCACTGCAAGCAGCGGAACTCTGAATCGATGCTCCTGTCTCGCTCGATGGGTGGTTTCGGCACGAAGATCATTAGCACTTCAGCTAAACATTTCCTCAGTGATAATATGGTGTCTGGCTTCAACTGCATTCCATCCCTCCTCCCCAGACCCCCCCAAACAACCTGGTCTGTGGACCCCTGGTCGACCCTTGCTGGTGCCGTTGTCACCACAACATGCATGCGACACAGGTACATCGAAAAAGTTGGGGTTTGGATTCCATCCTTGGTACAGCTGTTGTCTGAGGCTCGGAACTTCGACCGGTGTGGCAAAGTGTCAACTGTTTACTGGATCCCGGGACAGAACTTCTGTGTGTGTGCGGGGTCAAGGACTGGACAAGGTTATGGCCGTGCGCATACTTTCTGGGTGCATGCAGTCGTTGTTACCCAGACTTAGACTTCAACCACAGCCAGTTGTAAGCCAGCGGCGCCGCCCACAGCCGCACATCGCCAGATGGATGTTCCATGATGTCAGGTTTTACAACAACTCGCGCTTGGTCTTCGAGCTGCTGACCTTGACCCTGTGGTGTCCTGCAGTTCAGCCGACATTTGTCAAGCAAGCTGGCAGGTTGGGCCATTTGACCCGGAGAAAGCGAATCCTTTGAAACACTTCAAAGGCATCTTGCAATCGCCGAATCGCTGCATCCGCAGTCACACCAGCCTCGACACCAATGCTTGCTGCGCTTGCCAGCTGCAACACCAAACTTTAAGCAAGCTCCGCTGCGTCACAACCCCACACTAAGCAACAAAAACGATTGAATCACTCACACCACTGCAACACGCCGCATTGAAGACTGGCAACGGTGTTGCGCGGATTGTGTCCGGTGCATTTTTGCCGCGAAGCCATGGGCAACACTGCACCGATGCAACGAAGTACTTTGTAGCCTATCGTGCTGGAAATGTGCAGAAAGAACACGACGTGTAAAACTTCCATCCAAACATGCATCTTGTGCAAAGCATTGCCGTTCTGGCTACCGGTAAACTTGAAACACATGCTTGCTGCTGTCGGCACGAAAACCCGAGATGCTGGAATCCGATAATACCATTCGCAATTCTGCGACACGCTTGGGAGCATGCGACTCACCAATCGCTCCACGGATCGCCATGCATCCTGCAAGGTTGGCCTGCCGAATCATGCAATTGCACGGCGGGCATGCATATGCGCAGATCAAGGCTGCAGCGACTGGCAAAGATCGGCCACTGTATGCAACGATGCCAAAAGACCTGCACAAGCGTGCCCAACATGGGTACAGTAGGAAAATTGAATCAAAACCGCACCTTCCCGGCTCGACCTCAGCAGACAAACTGAATCATGGAAGACAGAGAGAACATGTCCGTCCAAGAGTGAGACTGGACGTGCCGCCGCACCAGGCGATATGCAAACCATTTGATGCAGCGAACACCCAACATGCAATAAACGAAATGCTGTACTAAGTGGTTCTGGTCGTGAAATCCTCACCTCCATTTCGATTGGCTTGAATCTGAAAAAATGATATAACATCGGCATCAGGATGACCATTCACCATAGCACTTGGTCAATAAGCCATATATTCTTACTGAAAGCAGAACCATGCATGCACGCGATTTTGTTAGATCCCTTCTGCTGTAGTTGCAGTCCCAGCAAGATTCGAACACCATAGACCTACCATCAGCGAACAAAAATGCTGGCAATCTTTTTCTTCCCTACTTTTACACGTGCACGCCGTCCATCCGAAGTCTATCTATACCTCGCCAGGCGCGCCAACCGCGGCTAGCTAGCGCAGCGGCAAATGGCGCGGCCGCGCCGCTGCGGCGAGCTCGAGCATGCGGTCCAGTTCCGGGCCCGGCCGCTGGCTCGCATGTGGTGGCGCGAGCCACGCACTTGGTCACGGCCTTCGTCCCGAACGAGCCGAAGTGCCGCATCGTTCCAGCGTCCCCCAACCTCTCAGCCAAGCACGAGGAGCCGCTGCGGACTGAACTCGGGGCGGCTCGCTTGCGCCGCTCAGCAACACGCAGCACGATGCCATCGTGTGTTGCAGCGCAGGGTGGCGGTTGGCCGCGGCGACACCACGGTCGCATCGCAGCACAGCGCAACTCCCATGAGCGTTGCTCCATAATTATATCACAGTCCAGGCGACGCCGGTCGTCCAGGGCGACGCCCGGAACAGTCGCGCTGCAAAGCATTGGCTTGGCCGTCAGCCCCACGGCTTCACGCGCGACCCTCACCCAAGCCTGTTTGACAACTTTAGCTCACCTAGCCCCTATAACAGTCGAGTGCGAAGGCAAGCCACGGCATGATCGCCGAACACATCAACGAGCCCGCCACATCCGGGCGAAAGTAAAGGTTGGCGAGCTTTCAAGAGCCTGTCAGCTCCTGACCGCTGCAGACCTTGCGCCCGGCGACGAGGATACGTTGCGAGCTTTAACAGACCCCGCAAAGCGTCCGCCGGAACCGCGAACCCCCATCCCGGACGCCGTGCAGGAACCACGGTGCCTTGCCCAGCCCATCCAAGTTGGACCATCTGTTGTTGCAGCAGCGTTGCGCGAAGCACGGCGGGGAGGCGCGGCAGCGGTCTGCAAGCCTGGACGAGCTGGAATGCCGAGACTTTTTTCTTTTTCGTGTTCCTTGTTCCGGCAGCCCAAAGTCCCAAACGGAAGTGCCTAACTGGCCCTACGGAGGCGCACGCACCAAGGCACTAGCGAGGCCCCTGACGGCTGCCAACAGGCGGAAGCTGCCACCGCACGTCGGCGAGGACCTCATGCAGATCCGGCGGCTCCCCGGCAACGTTACACTCGCCCGCGAGCGGGAGTTCCAACAGGGAAGCTGCGACGACGCGCTGTGCTGCGACTGCGGGGAGCCCCGACCAGCGGGCAACCCAGACTTAGCGAGGCGGCTGGCCGTTTCGTGCATCACTGGGGCATGGTGGCCGTGCTGCAGGCTGGCGCCAGCACGGCACTGGAGCAGGCTTGGCCAGTGCCGCTCCGGCAGTGCCAAAGGCACGAGCAGCTGTAACCGCAAGCACATACGACACAGTACTTTCGACTCGGAGCGCTAGCATCCGTCTCATCTTGAGCCATGCACGTGAAACATACTTGAAGAATGATTTGTATACGACTCATAGCGGCACATGGTCTTTCAGGCAATGTCGTGGTCTGCTACAGAGCATCCCCCAACCTGTTTGCTGCAATCATGGATGTCGCTAACAGGTTCCGTTTCGATGCCGCGTGAGTCGCGTGAGACGCAATCCCGGGCCCCATATGCAACACAACTCAAAGCGGAGTACGAAGAGCTTATCCGTCCAGCCACTGATACGGGGTCGTTGTTAGGTCAATGACTTCGGTGCTACCGTCGTCGTCCCACTTGACGTGGACTCGTCCGTCAAGGCCAACGGCCTCGATTGAGCCAGTTTTCCGATTTACGGCAAGTTTTGTTCGAGGTTGATCCGGCCCGATAGGAGTTGTTAGCGGCGCCAGCTGCACTGGCACCAGTCTGTCTGCCGAAACTGGTTGGTGGAATCCCAAATCTTTAGAGCCTGTAACGAGATCGCAAAGGACAAAAGCTCGAGTTCGCTCTTCACCGCCAGTTTGGTCTGTGATCTGGTACACTACATCAAAGTTGGGTGCCTGTGACTTCCTACTTTCGTCAGACGAGAAGTGTCCCTTCTTGAGAAGAACGTAGTCACCAACTGCGAAGTGTGTATTTGCACCATATTTGCGCATCTGCAGCTCTTGTTCCGCGCTACGGACACGACGATGTTCACTCTCAACGAAGCTGTGCACCTTTCGCAAGTACTGAATCAAGTCCGTGACATACGAGTCTACAGATGTTGATTGGACGACGGCTGGTGTACTCAACAAACCATCCAATGCAGTTCGAGGTTTCATTCCTGTAATGATTTCATAAGGGGTGAACGAACCGTTAAAGACCTTGCACGAAGTGCGAACAGTCCACTGAAACAGAGGCGCTACCACATCAAAGTTGTTAGCAAACTCACGCATAAACTGCTTGCAAAGTGTGCGGTACTCCCGGTGTGGTCGTTCAACTGCTGACTGTGACTGTGGATGCAAGGAGGTCCTTAATACCTGTTTGATGCCGAACGTTGCATTCAAGTGCTTGACTACCGACTCTGTGAAGGCTTTGGCCCTGTCAGAACACAGCATTGCCGGTACACCTGCTAAATCAAACATGACACGTTCTGCAAACAGCTCGGCCGCTGTCGCGGAATCTTCTTTCTTACAGGGTATGCACCAATACCAGCCACTAAAGACGCAAGCGCAGGTAAAACAATACTCGTTACCCCGTGGTGTCGCAGGTTTCTGCGGCCCAATAAAATCCATGATAAGTACGCGAAAAGGGCCATCTGACTCACGACTTCGCATGAAACCGGTCACAAGCGGTCTACTCTTCGCAACTCTGCAAACCAAACAGTTCTTGATGAGTGCGTCAATATCAGTACGCAAATCCTTCCACCAGAGACCTGCATCTGTGATGGCGCTAAATGTTCGGTCCCTGTCTTTGTGGCCGCCCATAGGCGAGCAATGATGTGAAATGAGCACGTAACGACGCAAACTCAACCTACGACTGACCCCTTGAAACTCCACCGATCTCCAACCACCCTTCGGAACTACCGTAAAATACTCATACAAACCGGTCTGGGTACTGTACCATCTACGCTGCAACAAACCGAAGTACAGTCGGTACTCTGGGAGCCTTGCAGCGGCCTCCCGAAGTTCCGGGAGTGGAATACCCGTGTGACGATGGATGCGATGGAGCTGCTGGTGTTCGAAATGCAAACCTTTTCCCTGAGAAATCAATGAGCATGACTCGCTGTCATCTAGAACAGCGCTCCCAGGCATGATGTGCTCATCGGTTGAAAAGACACTCAACAACCAGGGAACCTTGACGGCTACTTGACGACTGGTGCTGTTGAGGTAGCGAAACTGAGCCTCAAGTCGATACCACCCTACCTTCACATGCGTTGGGATTGGCCTCTCAACCGGAGTTTCGAAGTAAGCGAAAGTGGAGCGTAATGGAAACATGTTAGGTGACAGGTTTGAACCAGCAAGGTCAGGAATGACCAAAGTTTGTGAGTCCTTGGCTACATGAAAGATTTGGTCTGTAGCATCATTGTACATGCAGCGTTTACCTCTCAAGAAACGTTGTCGACGCTGCCACACGTTAAAAAGCTCGTTCAACATGTTACATTCATCATAATCACAGCCTGTCCACTCTTCTTCGGCTGCTCCTACAAGCTGCGGTGCTGCTTCACTGGCTTCGGCTTTGCTTTTGTTGACGTCGTTGTTCATGGACACGCTTGAAAACAGAGGATCTGCTGCGCATGATGCTGACAACAATGCCGTAACAGCTCGAGTATCGTCACCTGTGCGAAACAGCATCAATAGTCTAAGCTTGTCAATGCCCAACGCTGAAAGAGCTGATCCGAAACCCATGTGATACAGTTGGCCGGGTAATTTAAAGCCTAAGCCAAGTAAAGCTTCCCGATGGGCATCGAAAGACCCAATGGGTACAACCTCGAACGAAACGAGCATGACACGAGTGTCAAAGCGATACACCAAGCCCTTTTTGAGAGAAAGTGGTGCTGCAAAATCAATAGCATGAGTGCCTGAAGAAACTGCGGCGGTACTACTGTCTCCAGGTTGTGAAACCGGCAAGGTCTGGTACACGGCAGGTTTGTTCGTCGGGTGCACCCAAGCAAGTACGTGCATACGCTCACATATAGTTCCTACCTCGATCTCCTTCACGTTGCATGCTACAGTGATCGATGTGAGGGGTTCTCTTTGGACTGCCCAAAAATAGGCCAACCCAAACTTGAGGACATCTGACTCCAAAGGGCTTGCGGGGACCTTTAAACCATTCTCCTCGCCATCGAACCCAAAAGTCGAAGAACTGGGAACGGGCGTCCCAAGTTCACCCATCTGCTGAGCAAGAGCCGTGACTGACGACATTAGTTTGCGAAGAACACTCGTTTTTCCAGTGAGTTCCAAAGACGAGCCGTCCGCATACACAATGGATTCCTCAGGTGTGAGTGACATCGGGTCCGTTCCTACCGGATGGCCTAGACACTTACACTCTAGTGAGCCGCCCGCAGTACGTCGCACGTCTACTGAATTCCAGCAATACACATGTCTTGGCACAAAGGTGTCGCATTTTGGATCCCATGTGCTCAATGCTACGTGCTCCGGCGGATGTACATAAAAGAAACCGGCTGCATTCCCATGGAACCCGTTACGCTTCAATGTGCCAGCACCAAAGTTACCTGCTTCGCGAACACCAACTGATGCTGCGTAAAGAATGTGCGTGATGTGTGCTGCCACGTCATGGCCATGAATTGCACGTCCTCCTGTTCCGCAGCAGGAAATGGTGATGCTTTGCGACTCTTTCAAAAAGCGAAACTCACTAAACTTCCTGTCAAACGTAATGAGAAAATACTCGCGCCCACTATTTTGTATGATGTGCTGCACGTTCTTAACTTGCGGCTTTTGCTCTAAGATGGACTCCCGCAATGCCTCAAAGTCTCGCTGCGCTGCTTCGTTTAAGCCTAGGTCCGCTAGGGTTTTACTTGTCGTTGGGAGGTCAACTCCTGTGGGGCCTTTGCGCAATGGGAGCTCTAATGGAGTTCGTCCAGCTAGACTACCTGCAGCTGGCAATGGCTGAGGGACTACAGCATGTTCGTGACTGGAGCTTGATGGTTCTGCTGCTTCGACTGCATCAGACAATGAGCCTTCATCTAGCAATGGACTCATTGCGGCTACCCGCGGGGCACTCCAGGACAGGTAGTACTGTGGGTCTGGGAAACAGTTCGTCCACTTGGAATACGCGAAACTGAAATGATCCCCCACCCGTTTGATAAGAGCAATGGCCTTCTGTCTCTGGCCCACCTTCAACGCAAGACGTCGGATCAAAGAAGCTACACGCTCCCAGAGTGACCAGGGATAAGATTTCCTTGATGAAATGCGGGGTTTTGGTGACTTGCTCTCAGTTTCGAAGTACTCGTGGATTGATTCTGGCCCAAGACCTGCTAACACATGACAGTTTGTCAACCAGATACCCGACCGAGGATACCCGACGAAGAACCATCCGACTACACGACAAGTTTGAAGCAGCATAGCCCATGAGTTAATGTCTGTTTCCCGAGGCCAACCGCTGATGCATCCATACAGGCCCTGAGCTGTCAAATGACGACAAAAGCTGAGCAAGCTCGACAATCGCTCATCCAACCCGTTATCTGGACTAGCCTCCAACGTTTTCTCAGACATCGAAACCCAGGTCAACAACGGTCGGCTCACGCTGATCTGCTGTTGAAGCCAGGATACATGGGTGAAGCTAAAAATGTGCTCCTGTGATGGAATGATTTGATCTAGCACTTTCAACCGCTGAGCTCGACAGGCTTGCGACAGACAATGCGTAGCGCTACCTATCTCCCAAACATGATGAGAAAACGAGCTTCCGACGTTTGAAAGTGCTAGCAGCATGTTGTTGTGGTTCAAAGACCCTGCATAATCACCATGATGTGTGCCATAATGAGGAAAGTTCTGTAGCGAAGCACGGTGATTCAGCTGTGGGTTATGGTTGTCATCTGCAAACAGAGAGTCAAGCCGCTGCACATAGTTAATTGATGACGCGGCAACATCCAGTACTGTATCGGAGCTCATGGTTAAGCTGGAATGGCTAGAATCAGCCTCGGACAATACCGGAGTGCCTTCTACAGCCTCTGCAGTGTTTGACGTTTCATCACTGGTCGCCGGGACCAGCTCAGACGATGCAGAACTAGAGTTCGGGGTCTGGAATGGTGTGGTAATGTCGGAAACTGAGGGGATTTGTGAAGCGGGCCACACATCTGAACTCGCACGTTCCTCAGGAGTTGTAATGTCTGAAACTGACGGCAACTCAAACTCAGACACATGACTAGCATGACGTGACCTGCTGCGTGTGAAATCACTGCTGGACGAGCTCGTTTGTGGAGCAACAATGGTTGCCTGATGACCGTGCCGACGGCCACGATTCGATCGGCTTCGAGTGAAACCGCTGCTTTCAGACATAAGCGGGCTAGGATTCTCGTCCGTCTGTTGACTGGAGGGTCTCCCACCGGGGGTGCTATTACTAGACGACGTTGTTACCGAAAGGTCCTGCAACCTCGCGGTCCCACTAGAGTCACTGGAGCTACCTACGGAGCTTCTGCTAACATCAGACGCAAACTCGCGCGCAGAATGATACGCACTCGACCCGATAGAAGGATCTGTTGAAGGTTCTGATGCGGTACAACTCATGGGTGCAGGATTCTGCTCTGGTATGCTTGGCAACTCCTGTCGCCTAGAACTTACAGCTTCTGTCGGCACGCCTGTAGTAGCACCTACCACTGTCTCACTCCGGCGCATCCAGACACCAGGGACTGGATTCACGTCCATCGGTACCCAAGTTTCCAAGCCCATAGTTCGTGTTCTCTGCTGTACTTTGTTTGCTAAACTTTCGGGGTTGGTGAAAAAACTTTCGATGGTTTCTAGAATGCTCTGTTCCGGAACCGGCAAGTTACGAGCGACTGCGTCGGCCCATGGGGCGCGCGATCCACTGTCTGCCAGAATGTTGTCCTTTCCCGCAATCCACACACGCATCGTGTTGGCGAGCAACGGCTGAGCATCAGCTATCCATGCGACAAGCTTCTTACTAGCACGACGGCTTTTTAATACAGCTTCAGCACGCTCCACATTATGATGGTCGAAAAAGGCATACACTGGGAAACCATCAATGTACTTATGTAGTGCATACATGCCTTCACGAAACGCGAAAAACTCTCGCTCAAATGCACTCCAACGCGTCGCGACTTCGTCAAAGGAAGTCGCGAAGAAGGCAATGGGGCGCGGAGGCGCATGGGGTGCGGGTCGCTGACAAAGAACAGCACAATACGAATGATCTGAAGCATCGATATACACTTCGAAAGGTCGCGCTGAGCGCCACGGATACGCGGCAGCTTCCCAATCAGGAGCATACAACACGGCACGTTCCACTAACGTGTTCCGGATGTCCTGAAAGGATTTCTGTGCTTCTACGTCGCGGTCGTACATCTGAAAGTCGCTCCCTTTCTTGGTGTACTTCCGGAGAGGCATAGACTTGTCTACAAACCGAGGCCCTAAATAGATGCGCAAATAGTTTGCGAACGCTAGAAAACTCATGATATCTGCACAAGATTTCGGTTCGGGCCACTCCTTAAGTTGTGCGACTTTCTTGGGGTCCGGCCTTCGGCCAAACCGCCCAACCACGTTTCCCAGCAGAACGCATTCAGGCTGGAAAAACACGCACTTCGACAAACGATACTGTAGCCCATGGTGCCTAGCCAACTTTAGTAACTGAATCAATGAAGCGAAATGGTCATCGACTGTGTCATCCCCGAGGTGAGAATCGTCCACGAAGATGTCTACTAACGGGCTACCATCTTGTTTGAAAGCCGATCCGAAAATGCGTTCTTGAACGCTTTGGTAGATTGCAGGACCTTGTTTCGGGCCAAACGGAAGTTTCTTCGTTTTGAACACGCCAGCGGGTGTAATCACTGATAGAAGAAGGCTTGTCTCCTCGTCGCAAGCCAAGCCCGAGAAGCCCCAAACACAATCCAAAGTAGTGTGAAAATGCTGACCGGTTGCGCGGCTAAGGATGGCTTCCGCGTCAGGCGCTGGGTAATAATACTCTTCCGTGTTTTGGTTGAGCTCGCGGAAGTCACCAACGCGCCTACCGATCAAGCTACCCTTCTTATCAACAACGAATGTGGGTGTCACCATTGGGGGTACGGGGTCGTTGGGGCCTAACGGCTCAAGCTTACCTTCAACGACTTCTTCTTCAACGAGGAAGCTCAAACGGGCCTCATCGAACCTTGACAGCCGGTAGGGCTGTCCTGCCTTAAAGACTGCATCTTTCTTGGGCGCAATCGAAGCCTTGAAGCCTTTGATTTCTGGAGCAGGTGCCCCATCGATCCAAAAGCAATCGCTGAAAGGTTGAATGATTTGCTGGAAGAAACGATCCCTGTAGGCTTCTGGTACGAGATCTTGCTGGATGCACATCTGCATGAGCTCAGCCTTGTATGATTGGCTGTGGATGTCTTTCGGTTGCACTTGCTCCAGATGCTGTCTTCGATCACTGATTTCTTCCAACAGTTGAGGGAAAAGCCTAGCTTGAGCATCAGTTTTCTGCCGCATTTTGTACTTTGCAGTTGATATGTGGCCCGAAGGCAGCATTTGGACTGGTTTACCGACAGCAGCTGAAAAGCTTTCTAGAGCTTCCGTATCGTTGGGTTCCTCCCAACGCAATACAGCTACCGCTTTCGATGGTGACAACCTGACTTCCTGGCCAGGCATCGTCGTAACCAGTACTGTTATTCTGCCTTTGCATGTGTCTGCTACGCTCACTACGTCAGTCGGCTGCGACCCGGAGGATTGATGGTTGGAGTCAGGGCGCCCGAGTGACACAAATCTGCAACATGCAATCCAAAGTAAGACTGCGAGACTGTACAATCGAGCCCAACCGACCTAGCAGGTTGGCATGACACATTCCGAGTGTCTTCGCAGCTAGAAAAGATGGGACATTAACGTTTAGCGAAAAACTGTCGTCCAGTCCTGACCTAGAATGCCTTCGACATGACTGGTCTCTCGTATGCCGCCGGCTACCGTGTTGGAGCTCCCGGCTCTGTTGCCTCCAGCAACAATGCTCAAGCCTCCGGCTGTGCCTCCGGCACCACACACATCAGTGCTCCCGGCACTGTCGACACCCCCGGTGCCACTGGCTCTCGGCCCCGAATCTGCACTAATCACGCAAAGCTTTCGCATGGTAGAAATGCGATGCTGGCCTTGCGACCAGGCTTTAGCCTGTGGGCACTCTCCCGTTGCCACACTAGGTACCGAAGTGTCCGAAGAGGCTTGCAAGGTACACATCCCTGTTTGACCAGGGTTCGTCACAGGCAGCACCGCTGCATTCGGCCCATTCGTGAACGCGGGTGAGACAGGCATTTGTGAAACGGGCAAGCTGGAAACGTAGGACTGAAATTCTGAAATCTCGTCCTGTTGGCATTCGGCCAGTCGGCTGTCCAACTGAACTTCATCTTCTTCAGGCTCAAGCTCGATACCACCGGTTGTGACAGTGATGCTGTTGATACCACCGTCTGCGGGCCATTCGTCACTGTCAGCCCCTACATACGTGCCGTTCGCATCGTACCAACTACCGTCTTCGTCAACCCAGTAGGTCAGCATACCATCCGGTGACATACTCGAGATGTGTTTCCCCTTTCCCTTGCCTTTGATGTGGACGTATTGTCCCTTGGCCTTCCCTTTGCCCTTCCCCTTGCCTTTAAAGGTAGGGCGCTGGCCACGCTCCATCCGTAACTGTTGCCGGTGGTGCTTGCTGAAGTGATTGTTCCCATCGCAGGGGTGCTTTCCGAAGCATTTCCACTTACACAGCATTTTACTACCCGGAATCAACTTGTAGCCCGGGTCATTGCGGGCAATGTTTCCCGGGCATTGCTTCACATCACCATGCGTACCCTGACACTCGGGGCACTTTGTTGCGGTTGTGGCTGGAGGGGAAGCACTCTGAAAGCTAGAACTGGCCAAACGCCGAGCATTACCAGTGTTGCTAACTCCAAACGGTCGAGTGAGAGCCCCAATGTAATGAAATGACCCATCAACAGCAGCTACATACACATCTTCTGCGGGCGCGGATTGCTGGAATCCGTCAGCAGGGGCTGATGGCAGGCTCGTTGATGCGACATGTGGTTGCACTAACTGTGGTTGGAACGTTTGAATCCTCGACCCTGCGGCTACTGGCGGATTCATGGTCACATTCTGTGACCGTCGCTGGGATTCGATCCAACGATACAAGCATTGAATGACCTCGTGAGGCGTTGTCGGCTGATCATACACTGCTAGGCTACGGATGAAGCTGAACACCGATTTGCTAATCTTCTGCTCCATCATCACATTCAGATCACGCTGCTGCCCTGCCCTCACTAGTGCTTGAAGTTGCGCTTGCAGATCAGTCCGCAATGCCCTAACATCCGCATCCGCCAATAGAGTGTCGCCGTCTGGGCGCAAGCCGGCCCGAACCAAAGCCAACTCACCCACCCTGTAGGCACGGATGAATGATTCCGCACCCGCCACATCATCAGTGAGCATCTTGGCTTCATGCATGATGGAGTCCGCGATCACAGTACGCCTTTCTGCGGTCAGGTTAACCGACGCCTCCAGTTGGTTCCATACCATACCGTACAGCTGGTTATACCCCAGGTGCCGTGGGCCCTGTGCCCCTGGCATGGCAGGGAACTGTGCTGCTTGTTCAAGCAGCTGTCGCCCCGCACCCTGAGCCAAGTAAAGTTCGATGACATCCTTGGCGGCCGCCCTAGCCACCGAGCGAAGCTGCTTAAAAGCGACTTCACCACACTTTACCGCACCGAGCTCTTCCACATCGATCTCGAACTCGATCCGCTCTGTCATGCATGCCCGATCAGTCAAACACTCTACGGCTCGAACTTCCTTTTTCGGTCGGAGTTAACCGAAACCCCGCTGAGCTTCGTTCACTTGCAATGAATGAAGCTGCGCTTGCACAAGCTGTTGCACAGACTGCTGTGTGAGCATACTGGTTTGCCACAGTGCTGTCAATGGATCGTTGCTCGCATTCGCACCCATAGCCTGTAATCCAAGCGGGGCTTGGGTAGACTGAGGTGTTGTCGCAGACGACTGCTGGTTCACCCACGGAGAGTATGCGGGCTGCGCCGTCGGCGCATGTTGTGACGGTTGCGCCATGAATGGATCGCAACGCTTCACAACGGGTTTCAATTTCCCAGGTCAACAGCCCCCAGAATTTGTAACCGCAAGCACATACGACACAGTACTTTCGACTCGGAGCGCTAGCATCCGTCTCATCTTGAGCCATGCACGTGAAACATACTTGAAGAATGATTTGTATACGACTCATAGCGGCACATGGTCTTTCAGGCAATGTCGTGGTCTGCTACAGAGCCCCTCCAGCTAGTGCTAGGTTCTGAGTGCGTCGGAGCAGATGCAAGTAATGAAGTTGCCGGCGGGCATCGTCGGTTTTTTTTTTTTTCAGGAGCTCCTGAAATTTGGGCAGGGGCACGGGCACCAAGTGTTGACAAACATACATGTATCAATGGTACTCCGGCTGAAACAGTTCGGTGCATTGATGCGAGCAGCCGACCTTTTTATTGGTTGTGTCATGCTGATGGTAGGATATATCCGGGTGGCTGACAAACATCAGCACGGAAGCGGCTCCTCCGCTTCGACATGTGGACGGCAGTCTTGGTTAGACGCAAGCATCATTTTTTTGTTTTCCAAGTTGCCGAATGCGATAGCGGGGAACGGCACGTTTGCACATGGTATGTGGTAGTTAAATGGACCCGACAGTAGCTCCGGCTTCACAGCAAACCCGAGCAGCTGCGCGCTCACGTGGAACAGCTGGCGGACCACAACACGCTAACGGCTAACGTCCACTCCTTACGTCATGTCGAGGAAGGAAGCTGGCAAGGACAAAGTCCTGAGCGGCCGAGGGAAATTCGCACAGCGATGCAACGTTATGTTCGGTGCCCGGCTACGGCAAGGAGCCATGACCAGCGTGCGACCCCTGTAATGATGTCCGATAAACCCGGAGGCGTTGAAAGTGTACTCGCCCCCGCCACGGCATCCAGCGCCAAGCCCGGAATGGAGCATCTGGGGGCATGGGGGTGGAGGGTTATGGAAGTGAACCGCCCTTCAAGCTACGGTGTCTTGGTCACCGGTGTGCATTTGCAAACAAGTTTTTGGAATGCTTCAAGCCCAAGAGCGACTGGTTCAAGAGAGGAGGACGCGCTGTGGAGTGGCAGTAGCGAAGCGGCGCGGCAGCAGCGAAGCAGCGCGGCAGCAGCGAGGCGGCGCGATGCAGAGCTGGCAACATGTAGCAGAGTGACGCGGAGCAGAGCGGAGCGGTGGGAGGGGGGGGGGGCGCTGAGCGGCGCAGCAGTAGCTGAGCGACGCGGCCGCAGCGGAGCGACGCGGTGCGACAGCAGGCGCGGCAGTAGCGGAGAGGCGGCGTCGCGGCAACAGCGAAGCGGCAGTAGCAGAGCCGTATAACCGGAGGAGCAGTGAAACACTATAGGCGGTTGCGGCAGCACAGCAGATCGCCGCGGCAGCGCAACCGTGTAACAGAGCGGCGCAGCAATTACGACGCGGTAGTCGTAGAGTGAGTGGTGCAGGCGGCAGCAGTGGAGCGGAGCCGCTGTAGGCACTGGCAGAGCGGCGCACTTGGCCCCAGCGAAGGTCCAAAGCTTGCAAATCTTGGGTGTTTGTAGTCTTTAGCCGGTCCTTTCACCGAGCCCGAACCCTTAAAACCCTACAGTCCCAAACGCCGTAAAGGTCCAAGCTCTCTTACCGGCAGTGTGACTCACAGTGCCGGAAAGCAACCTAATGCCTGGTGTGCGATCCTTGGTTTCGAAGCACTGTCTCCCGCGCTGCTCGACAAATGGTCAACATGCTGGAAGCATCGCGGCCGCACTCGAGCCATCGGTCCGCATGCTTATGAAAAATGCTGCACTCTCGGCTTCTTTGGACATGGTGGCGTCTTTGGCATCTCGAAGGCGTCTGAAACTAAACGAGCGTGCATCGACGTCAACAGTTTTCTCAAAGAACGCTTTTCGTCTCAGACGTGGACTTCCATCACCTAATTCTACAATCCGTCCATGCCGTTACATCGAAACATCCTGAATATGATAGGGCATGCGAACAGGGTAATTTCATGGAAGGTCGAGTATGGATCGAAGACGAAAACGGACAAGCAACGGTCTTGTTGGAAACGAAAAGCGGTCAGAAACTTCTACGCGGTACGTGGATTGACATGCATGACAAGTCCGTTTCGTTCAATGCTCGGAAACATCACATGCTTGAAGCATCGCGGAAACATGCGGGCTCTTGCCGCATATACACTTCCAGCATACAAACATGCTCATGAATCTGACGTCGCTGAAATAATGGAAACTCGGCTTGCCCGTTCCGCGACGACAAGGCTGATCGCGTAATAATCGCATAGCGAGCATATAGAGATTCGGATAAACACTCAGTCTTCTTCGAGTCTGTCGTACGGGGGGGCCCTAGTAGTGTTTTTGGGGGCCGCCCCCCCAGCATACATTAACTCATAGGATTTCCTGAACGGGAATGGAATGTATCCGGGGGGGTGTGAGGGACGCTCTTCGTTTCCGGGAGTCGATATATATATATATATACATAAATATGCATAAATATACATAAATATACATAAATATACATATATATATATATACATATATATATACATATATATATATATGTATATATATGTATTGCGTGGGGGATTGATCTCGACTAAGTTGCTGCTCTCCCCACCAGAGCTGTAATGAATGTAGGTGTGGCTGGCTTGCACTCTCCACAGACTGGACCCTGTCTCTCTCACACTTCCACACGTGCAATCCTATGCAGGCAGAACCGGCGGCCGTTCCTTTTGCACTCACTGCCGGCGGCGGTTCGTCTGTGCAACGGGATAGCTCTGATTGCTCAGGATAGAAGACACTTATAGCACTTAGCTATGGGCATTGACTTGAGCCAAACGTTGCGTGGGCGGTCACATAGAAAGGTAAAGACGAGGGACGCGTAGCGTGCCCCCTTAGAGTCGAGGGACGCGTAGCGTGCCCCCTTCTCTTGCACTTTACACGGTCTTGCTCACAGCTCTTATAGTGACACCTTAGAACTTGACAAGGCATCGCAGTCCGTTCGCACCCCCCATGAGTTGCGTCTCCGACGCTGCTCACCCGGAAGATGGCACGATAGGACAACAGAAAATGTTCCGCCGCAACGTTGACATTGAAAATCAGAGCTTTGCATCCCAATTAGAAACGTTGTGACACTCATCTACGTCAGTAACGATCCCCTGAAATGGCAAACGAATCAGGCGTCACCGAAGAAAGAAGCATTCGCGATGGCATTCCATGGGCGAAGCTCAGAGGTCACGAACTGATAGGCGAGGAAGACCAAGCGTTGATTCATCTCCATCTTCGCGTGGTCGCAGGATCGCGGTCCCAGGGCCGGAGGTTTTCCTCTGGATACTGTTCCCTTTGCTTTCCTTTGTCCTTGCCTTTGTTTCGGCCTTTGCCGGCGGTGTAGTCATAGTAGGTGTTGGCGTTCCAGCCTCCATGATGTTCACCTCCGGCTCTCTCACGCCCCTTTGAAGGTCCCTTGGCCGAAGAAGCGCTTGCACGTTCCTCCGTAGTGACAGGCGTGTCCAGGATGGAAGTACCACCTGGAGGGAGATAGTCAGCGGCCGAAATGTGGTGTAGGGCTTCAGTACGCTTGGTCGTCGGGTTTTGCTGTCTCTCAGCCTTGGATCTGTTCAATCTGTCCATGAAATGCGCAGGCATTTGCACATTGTGGTCCACCAGCAATCCAATGGTCTGGACTGAATGATCGGCATGAGTCAGCAGGATACCGACGGGGTCGATGTACAAGAAGTCCACCGGTCCAGTTGGCGTTGGTCGTAGCACTGAGAATTGTTGGTGTCCTGTCACCATCGGAATCACCTCGCACAGGACGTTCAGGCAACAAAAGTGCATAGCCTTCACATCTTCATCCCTGTTGCTCTTCAAGTACGTAGTAGGGTTGAAGTTGTCCCTGCCAATTCCCATCATGTTGGCTCCCCGTGTAAGCAACGAAAGCATCTGATTCGTCCGGAAGCGCTTCAAAGTGTAAGTCCCGTTGGGATCGTACTGCTTGAGGTTCTCAGGTTCCTTGGCAAAGCGAATGATCTCCTCATCAGTCACATCCCTGCTCACACCCGTCTCTCTGTCCACTACAGCCAAAGATCCCCACTTTCCGAGCACATCATAGCGTTGGCCAAGTGCGAAATTCTCCTTCATCTGAAACAACGGCATAGTAGCCCACTTCGCGAATCCTGACCAAGCCTTGTAGATGGTCCTGCATACCACGAAAGCCATATACGAAAGAGCGACCATGTTGGGGTCAATGCAATGGGCATTTCGCTTCCCTGAGTAGTAGGATGGCTGCATGGCGGTACGTGCAAGTTGTAGCTCAGGATCGATGTTCAAAGACTGGCCGGCGATGAGGACGGGACGGCGTTCCTGTGCAACTGCATCTGGTACTGCGTCATCAAAGTCCTCTCCTGGCTCTGTGTCCATTTCTTCATCAGGTTCCTGTTCTGGATCGTCCTCCGCGATGACAGATGGTTCTGGGATTTCCTCAGGTTCCGCAACGGTCTCTACCGCCATGGCTTCCTGCTCCTCTTCGGGCGCCTCAGGCACTGCTGCTGCCGCGGCTTCCATTGTCTGAGCAATGAAGTCACTGGGGATCTCCGTAGGAGTCTCCCGTTGTGGAGAACCTTGGTAATACCCGCTAGAAACGAATTGTGACCAGCAAGACGTGCATCGGGAGAAGCATGCTGGAACGATGTTGTAGCATGC